CTGTCGTCCACTAGGACCCCCAGGTCCCTCTCCCCTACACTGCTCTCTAACAGGTCGTTCCCCAACCTATACTGGAACCTGGGGTTGTTCCTGCCCAGATGCAGGACTCTACACTTTCCCTTGTTAGATTTCATCCCGTTATTCCCTGCCCAACTCTCTAGCCTGTCCAGGTCTCGCTGGATGGCAGCACAGCCTTCTGGCGTGTCAGCCACTCCTCCCAGCTTAGTGTCATCAGCAAACTTGCTGATAGTACACTCAATTCCCTCATCTAAATCGTTGATGAATATATTAAATAATACCGGTCCCAGTACTGACCCTTGAGGCACTCCACTAGTTACAGGCCTCCAACTAGACTCAGCCCCATAGACTACAACTCTCTGGCTTCTCTCCTTCAGCCAGTTCGCAGTCCACCTCACTACCTGATTATCCAGTCCACACTTCCTCAAATTAGCTGTGGGGATGCTGTGGGAGACTGTGTCAAACGCTTTGCTGAAGTCAAGGTAGACCACATCCACCACTCTGCCATCATCATTCCACCGTGTTATTTCCTCATAAAAGGCTAAGAGATTGGTCAAACATGATTTCCCCCTGGTGAAGCCATGTTGACTGCCCCTCATAACCCTCTTATCCTTGATATGCCTTAAGATGGCACCAAGGATAAGGTGTTCCATCACTTTCCCGGGGATGGAGGTGAGGCTGACCGGTCCATAGTTACCCAGGTCCTCCTTCTTGCCCTTTTTGAAGACTGGAGTGACATTTGCTTTCCTCCAGTCCTCAGGCACCTCTCCCGTTTCCCAGGACTTGGTAAAGATGATGGAGAGCGGTCTAGCAATGACTTCCGCCAGTTCCCTCAGCACCCGCGGGTGCATCCCATCTGGACCCATGGATTTATGGATGTCCAGATTGCTCAACTGGTCTCTAACCCATTCCTCATCGACTAAGGCAAACCGCTCCGTCGACCTGACTTCATCTAAGGTCTCAGGGGTAGAGGGCTCTTCAGGACTGCCTGCAGCAGAGTAGACAGAGACAAAGAAGGCATTCAGTAACTCTGCCATCTCTGTATCTTCTGTCACCAGGGCACCCATCCCATTCATCAGTGGGCCTACATTGCCTCTGGTGTTAGTTTTAGCTGCCATGTATTTGAAAAAGCTCTTTTTGCTGTCCTTGACCCTTCTCGCCAGGTTTAATTCTAAGGATGCCTTAGTCCTCCTAGCTGCCTTCCTACATCCTCTACCAGCAGCCTTATATTCCTTCCAAGTGGCCAGCCCCTCCTTCCATGACCTGTAAACTCTCCTCTTCCACTTGAGCATACCCAGCAATTCCCTATTTAGCCACGCAGGTCTCCTGACCCTCTTCCTTGACTTCCTACGTGTCGGGATGCTCCGATCTTGAGCTCGGAAAAAGCAATCCTTGAATGTCAACTATCTTGGGCCCCTTTACCTTCAAGCAGCCTTGCCCATGGGATTTCCCCTAGCAATTGCTTGAAAAGGCCAAAGTTTGCCCTGCTAAAGTCCAGGGTTGCAATTCTACTTGCTATTCTACTAGTCCTACCACACAAGATCCTGAACTCCACCATCTCGTGGTCGCTGCAACCAGGGCAGCCCTCAACCCTTACTGCTTCAACCAGACCCTCCTTGTTAGTGAGGATGAAATCCAGCAGCGCTCCTCTCCTGGTTGGCTCATCCACCATTTGCAGGAGGAAGTTATCATCCATACACTGGAGGAACCTCCTGGACTGTGGCTGGGTTGCCGAGTGGTCCTTCCAGCAAACATCAGGGAAGTTAAAATCCCCCACGACGACCACAGCCTGTGACTGTGAGGCCGCTCTCAGCTGCCTGTAGAATGCCTCATCAACTTCCTCACCCTGATCTGGTGGTCTGTAACAGACACCTACAACAGTATCCCCCCTGCCAGCCTGCCCCTTAATTCTCACCCACAGACTCTCAACTCGCTCGTCATCTGTCCCCAGACAGAACTCGGTGCATTGTAGTTCCTCCCACACATAAAGAGCAACCCCACCACCCTTCCTGGCTGGCCTGTCTTTTCTGAAAAGGACATAGCCCTCCATGACTGTATTCCAGTCATGTGAGCTGTCCCACCACGTCTCTGTAATTGCCACCAGATCATAGTCTCCTGACTTAACACAGGTTTCCAACTCCTCCTGTTTATTTCCCATGCTGCGCGCATTGGTGTACAGACATTTTAGGGAGCAAGCTGAGCACACCGATTTCACCCTAGGATTATAGGAGGCCTCCCAGTCTTCATTAATTCTGGAGCGCTGCCCCACTGGGGCAAGCCCAGCTACAACCCATCCCCCTTCGAATCTAGTTTAAAGCTCTCCAAATGAGCCCTGCTAATTCGTGCCCCAGCATCCTTTTGCCTCTGTGAGACAAACCTTTCTCACTTGACATTGTCCAGACTGGTGCCCTATAAAACCAGCTGTTATCAAAGAATCCAAAGCCCTGCCTGTAGCACCAGTCTCAAAGCCAATTGTTTATGAACTGAATCTTCCCATTGCTTCCCACATCATCAGTGGAAGATGGAAGGAGTGAGGAGAAGATCACTTGAGCCCCAGGCTCTTTCACCATCCACCCCAAGGCCCTGTAGTCTTTCTTCATCCCCCTCAGACTGCGGGAAGCAGCTTCCTCCCCACCTGTCTGGAAGACCAGCAGCGGGTAGTAGTCTGTCGGGTGCACCAGGCTGGGGAGCGCCCTGGTGATATCCCTGATCCGGGCTCCAGGCAGACTACACACTTCCCTATGATGAGGGTCAACTCTGCATATCGGGCCCTCTGTTCCTCTCAGAAGGGAATCCCCTACTACAATGACCCTTCTTTCTTTCTTATCATAGGCAGTCTTGAGGTGCAAAGTCGACCGCCTTTTCCTATGTGGCCTTGTGGGCTGGCCTTGCCCCACATTCTCACCTACCTCTCCTTCAAGATCCAGGGCCTCGAACCTATTACGGAGGGACACCTGGGGAAGCAGGGCAGGAAGGGGGGAGGGTTTCCCACGACGCTGAACTGGAACTCGCTTCCAACCCTCGTCGTCTTTTTGGTCCCCTACCTCTGCACAACAGCTACAGGGCAGGGGCTGTCTCGGGCCATCCCCCTCTATGTGAGAAGGCAGGGGGTTCTTTCCCTTTTGGGGGGTATCTCCCTGGAACCGTTCCGACTGGCACGCCAGGGAGTTACTCCACCAGTTGATCTCCCTTTCACACTCCCTGATGGTCCTCAGCGTCTCAACCTCCTCCTTAAGTCTTGCCACCAGGCTAAGCAGATCTTCTACCTGCTCACACCTCACACAGGTGGAATGCTGTCCTCCCTCCCCCGGCAGCAGCAGGCTCTGGCACTCCCTGCATCCAGAGACCTGAACAGCCACGGTTTGGGATGGGGTCTCTGTCTGAGTTAATTTCATGTCATAGACAGATAAGGACTATCTATAGAAAAACAGAATAATGTAGTTTTGTCACACTTTTGTATATTTCTGTTTGAGAAGTTTCTTAATGACTGAGACGCACATTGTCACACAGCACAAACAGTGATCATCAGCAATATGCAAGTTACAGGCTGAAATTTAAAAACTCTTGGTAAGCAGAAGTTCTAATACTTTCAAAAGTTTTGTTTTAACTTGGCTTGGCTTTATTTTTGTTTTACTTTTATATAGCTGTACGTTAAAACATTGCAAGCAATGTGGCATATTAAAATTAATATTTTAGTGTAATGTGAATATTTAAGAGAATCCATTTGTTAGAATTGAAATAAGACAATTTTTAGAACTTAAAAACTCAAGTTTGTTTTGTCTATCTAGTATACCTATTTGTTGGATGGTTTCTTTCAGAAATACTTTATTTTAGACCAAACAACCTTTTCTGATGGATTTTTTTGTTTTTGCATTTATTTCTACTTACAAATCAAAAAGTAGTCCTGAGTAATTCTGTATTTTATAGTGAGCAACCAGTTTGACTCGTTGTTCTTTAGAGTGATTCTGTATCATTATGCTTGCATTGACAGGTTTGCTGAAGCTAAATGCCTTGGAGAAAAATTGAATGAAGTAAGAAATAAAATAAGTGAGTACGTTTTAACTTCAGTTTACCTTGTAGCTGATGAAATCATGGCATCCAGAGGATATGGGAAGAGATTATAGTTTCTAAGAGAAAAGAGTCAATCTATTACTAAGGTTTCTAATAAGCTAAATTGTTAGCTGATGGTAGCAGTAATCATTTTATGTACCAGTTTTGATTGTTTTAAATACCATAATGTGAAAATTAGCTCCCTTGTTTACTTGACAGGATCTCTGAAATCTATCAAAAAGAGAAGTTAAGCTATTAATACTGGGTTTTCTGAATTTTATTTTGGGAAAAAAAGGATTCAAAAACATAATTTTAAATTGTGATATCTAGGGATTAAGGATTGTATTTATCTATAAATTTATATAGCTTCTGATAAAGAAGATTTCATTGTTGAATTATTGAATTGCTTCTCTGTACTTTCTTTGCATGTATTAATTAGAAAAAATCTGAGGAGTGCCTCAGCTTGCTGGTTTTTTTTTTCATTTTTTGCTTTAATGCCCAAACAGCACATGCTTGCTTTCCAGTTTCAGATTGTTCAGAGCCAAAAATCTCCTATATATACATGCAACCCCAAGATAGGTCTTATCTGATCTTTCTAGCAGCATTTTATATATTCCTCATGGATTTCTTGAATTCTGTTGATTCGAAGCCTGTAGCTTCTTTCCTAGAAATTGGCTATACAGGTTCTCTATCAGATGTGAAATGCAGTTTTGTTGTCTATTGCTGAAGTCCATGGAGATCAGATCCTCCTGTATGCACACATTCAGGTGAACCAAGTCTCTTCAAGCTTCCAGATACAGGCTGCAAGGTACTAGATTCAAAGTTAATCTGGCATCCTGGTCCAGTGGTCTAGACCTTGCTTTATTTTCTCTCTTCTTCCTCTTTGTGTGGCACCATCATGGACAATGAACTCATTTTCATCAGTTCTTGTTTTATAGCATGAGCTGATTTCTGGAAAGGACAAAAGTCTCATGGCACTCCTGACAAATGCCCTGTACTTTCACCATAGCCATGATTATATTCTCTGTGGTTATGAATGGTAGCTACTGCCAGATTCCCCTCCCAGACACCTTTGGATACACCACAAGTTGCTTGGAGATATTATACACTATATTTAAAGTTGTGTCAGCTATGCGGAAACCCTCAGACATGTTGGCACAGTGTTTTTAAACCACAGCACAAAGAATGTTTGGAAGGGATCCAGAACCAGAGACATTAGGTTCTGAGCCTTTCTGCAGCAGTGTTCTGAACACTGGGTTATTTCTGTTAAGACATGACACTTGAATCAAAATTGACTTCTCTCAGTTGGCTCATTTGTCTCCTTCAGATTGGTCAGAACATAAATGTCAGTACAGAACTTGCACATGGATCTGCGCAGGTTGGCCCATGCTGGAAGAATTTCAGTGTCCTCCTTGCAGCTATGGGTCTCTCCAGATTCCATGTGAGCTCACTTAAATCCTGCTAAGTAGGCTTTTTCCCCTGGTAAACTTGGAAAAGCAGTTTAAACCTACTGTGGAGGACAATGGCAAGTGACAGGAAGCATCTCCAAGGTGAATAATGCTTGCGGCTTTTGTACAGCTCTCTGCACAGGTGAGCATGAGCCATCATATCAGGATATAACTTCTTTTACTCTGCTGCCATCTTGAAGTCCACATTATCCTGATTTCCTTACTATCTCCTAGATTTACCCACCTGTGATAAGTCTAAATGAGGTAGAGCCAAAGTCCACACTGAGTCTCAAATTTCTTTCCTTGCTGAAGTTAAAATCCATTTTGGAGCAGGCACAGAGAACACCAGCAATAAGCAGCTATACGCAAGCACATCTTTCTCAGTGCCTGGGGCTGTGACTGTACTACTTGAAGAGCAAAGCCTTACATACACCTACTATAAGTTGCAAATATCTTAGGGGGAGAATTGACATTTGGAGGGTGTGGGAGAACGTACAAGAAGTGGTGGCACACATGCCAGTCCTGAAGGTACCATTTGTAATGTCATGCTGTGACAAGGTTTGCGTGTCCCTTAAGATTTGCTGGAGTCTACTGTGCCAGCTCTCAGAAATAATGTAACAAAGCAATGTAGAGTAGCCCCTCAAGGCTGTTTCCATGGATCCCAGCAAAATCTAAAATAAGTCCTTTGTTTGCACTGAATCGCTGTGAGTTTTGCCCCAGTAACTCGGACAAAAGTTATGATAGTTAGAGTGCAGTAGAGTATGGGTTTTGCTACAATTAAAAGCTTCTGGTTTAAAATTTTTAGTTAAGTTCTTCGGTGTTAGAAATGAAAAAGTGAAGTATATCTGGGGAGCATGAAAAATGCAAAAATCTGAGCACATATTCATATGTGTATGTAACCTAAAAACCCAAACTGATCCTTGAACAAAACAAGCAGGTGTATAACAAATCAGTAGTAGGGCACTGAACTTGACAATGCTTATATGCTTCTTATAGAAAATTGTAATAGCTTGTAGTCCACGTGAATGTTGAAAAGCTGCTTTAAGAAAATGTAGTCCACATGAATGCTGAAAAACTGCTTTTCTTTTTTTTTAAGCTGCCATTGTTCTTAAAAAAAAAAAAATTACACAAAATTACAGATTTTGGGTTTAGTGTGATGTGTAAAGAGCAGTTACAAGTGTTTTCAAATTGAAAATTCTCATATTTAACCTTCTTTTGATCATAGTTGTTAATAAATCTGTTAGCCCGTCTCTGACAGTTATTAAGTCTTTGCATCCAGTATGATGCTTTCTGGCTTATTCAATACAATTACACTAGTTTATATAGTTTAGCAGCCTGAAATGATTTTTCAGTTTTCACTAAAGTATATCTTATCATAGCACACATACTCAGAATACCATTGAAGATGCTAAGTAAGGTTACTAACCTGCCAAATTTTTACTGAAAATGTGGTTGGAGAAATGAGAGTCATCTGCAGCCTGCAACTAGATCTTTCATTCAGTTTTATTGTTGTTTTGGTTTCCCTAAGCATTTCTGGCTGCCTTCTTGTGCACAATCAAGAACAGATCCCATCAATATCACTTTCTGTTATTTCTAAGCTACCCTTAATAGTATAAAACTATGCACCACAGAGGCCATAGAGCTCATTTCACAGAGTCTGATTATATTTTGCAATAGTAACATCACAGTTGGCTGTAACTTTCATGTCATAAATACCCTTCCGTTATGATTTCAGAAATGTTAGTGTTTTGCAGTGAAAAATATACACAAAATATTCCAACCACTTCTCAATTACACTAGCATTTCAAAAACATCAGGAAGTTAGGGCTGGACAAAGGAATTTGCAGTAAGATTTTCATGGTAGGATTTTGCTGATGTTATTATTTGCATAAAAAGATTAAGGAAAACAATGTCATGATGTAAGCTGGAGTTTAAGTGTAGAGTAACTATAATATCAGAAATGAGACATTTTGGTTAACATACCTCTTTGCTGCTATACCATATATTCCTGGATTCTGTCTCCTTTTATGTTTAATAACACTGCAGAGAATTCAGAGATTTTTAAATTCTTTTTATGGAAAATAATGGGTATGTCTTAGTTTTTTCATTATGTTTATTTTTAATAATGATGTCCTAGAAATAAGAAGGTGAATTTTATTGTAGGATGAAATTGTCTTTTTTTGACACTGAAAAAAATGAAGACAGATGTGTTTTTAAGCCAGGTCGTATTAGTGATCCTGTTTGCTGTGTTACCACACAAACCTCTACATAGGCACAAGTAAAGGAGCAGAGGGCTCTGGTGCAAGCCCTGAGGGGCACTTCTTTCTGAAAGTCAATATACTGCATAAATACACCATCAAAAGGCAGGGAAACAAAGCGTGGATTTTAAACATGTAGACATGTCCGGGTTGGTTTGAGTTTGAGCTGCTCAGAATTGTTTCTATATGACTGGAAAATGCACCCAAGGACTAGACTTTAAAAAACAAATACAGAAAACTGACAGTAAAACTGGAAAAGTATAACTTTCAGGTCAAGGAACTAATGAGAATTCTGTAGCCAGCATAGAAGTGGAAAGTGGACTGGCACTGACATACAAGTAAATTTTTGCATTTTTAGTCCATCACTAAAACTGTATTTCACTGTGTATTTCACTGTGTAAGAAAAGTGTTATTTTCTTGTGAAAAAACTCTCTGTGCCACTGCAAGTGTTACTGTATTTTATCATTTCCAAAGAGTTAGGGTCTCTGAGAGGAATGTTGTATCCTTTTGGTATAATTGAAGAAGACTTAAGGAAGAAAATCTGACACTGAAGCCAAGGATTTGTTTTCAGAATAGTGATGTATAGAATTTCTTCCTGCAATAAATTGAGTAATTGTGGCTAGCACATTGTGATTGGTTGACCTCAGCTGCCTGCCAGGCACCTATCCAGCTGCTTTCTTCTGTTCCTCAGCAGAAGAAGGGGAGAAGGAAAGAAAAAGCTCATGGGTTGAGATAAGGATGGGGAGATCAATTGCCAATTACCATCACAGGCAAAACAAAATCAAGTTGGAGAAAATCAATTTAATTTGCTGCCAGTTGAAACAGAGCTAGATGGTGAGAAACAAAGACAAAACCTCTGAAGTCAAAACTTCTCTCCTTATCAGGGTTAGCGGGAATTTTATTTCCAGAACGCTGTTACCAGCAAGGTAGTTTTACACCATTACCAAGAACATTCAGTGTGAAAGGATTCTGACAGTAAGGAGAATAAGCCTACACCTGAACAAATTGCAAAGCATTAAATAACAACAAAAAGGCCCAACTGCTACTAAATTGATCACACAACAAGTTAAGGTTGGGGGAATTAATAATACTGTTTTCAGTGTAAATTAATCTGATATATTCAGTCAGCAAGTAGTTGCTAAAGAAGTTGCCTGTATAAAAAAATGTGCTATGTGTTAGATGCATTTAAGGTTAGTAAAGATTTCCACTTCATCCCTATAAATACGTGTTTATTTTGAGGTATTTATGCCACTATTAAGTTTAGGTTTTTTTCCTAAAGGACAAAGAAAACATACTAAATGGTATTTAATGCCCAAATGGAAGCAGCTGTTGGTTTTACTCTTTCCAGAAATCAGCTAACATTATGGTTGAAGCTGGGAGAGGATGGGCAAATTCATGTGGAAGTATAACTGTGTGAGGAAACAGACACTCTTGGAATGAAAAGGGGGTAGGTGAGTGGATGTTGATGATGCCACTATACCCACAAGAATGACGAGATGTTGCGCTGCTCTGCTCATTTCAAGCTTTGATTTTAGTGCACAAGATCATAGAATACCAGAGCCAATTATAATCATTAGTGAGGGCATGTCCTAGTATTTCAAAGCAAGATTATTAAAGAATCTTCATTTAATTTGCTTGCAAATTATTCAAATAATTTTCCTAAGTTCCCACAGTTAATGGAGTGCTACACTGAAATGGTGATGACTGGAGTGAGGACAAGACATCACAGTACTCAAGGATAATACTGATTCTGGTTCACTGCCTTATACCTTGCACTGTCATCTCTATGAATGCAAAGTTGATGTTAAACCTAATCACAACCTAAATAATATAAAACCTGAATTTATAATTACCTTTTCCTCTATGTCCAAGGCTTGATGTATGTATACATTAAAAAAATTATTCTGTTATGGTCACTCTCCCTCCCCATGGAAATAAGCCATTTTTAAACTCCAAAGTAAGAATATTTTGTGCAAGGCTTTCCTTTATACCTGCACAACTTTATGAAGGGAACTGAAAGCAGCCTTTTTGCGTAGATAAGAAGTTAAATAAGATGATGTTTTCCAAGCAGAGGTGGTCTGAGAGCATTCTATTGGCTAAGTTGCCCATCTATACTGTTTTAGGTTCACATGCAGTCAATAAATTACTTTGAAAAAGGAGAATCAGCTAAGAATTAGAACATCAAGGATGATGTTGGGACCGTGACTATATGGACTGAAAGAATTGAGGGAAGTCATGCATGGGCAAAAAGTATTTGTAAACCTTTGGCTGGAAAAGTACATGTACTTAGCAAAAGCAGAATTTCTCTGTTGAAAAATTCCATGCCTTATGTGGAACCTAAATGAAATGAAAATTCTGAGATTATTTGCTATATGAAAAAAAAATTCATCAATATCAACATCTAGCTTTCTTAAAGCTCAATACTATTTGGTAGCATCATTTATTGATTTTTATGTTAAAATAAAGTGTTCTGAACCAGAGACATTAGCTTACTGGACATTGTTTTACCCGTGAGTGAAGTGAGGTTGTAATAAGGGAGGAATTATTGTGCTTTGAAATGCATTCCATTCTTCAGTATAATATTCTGACATACTTATTCTTTTATGGAAAAAGCATTGAAACTTCATAGCTGCTGATTACTATAATTCACTGTTCTAGTTTAATTCCAGAAAGTATCAAGTACTTACACGGACTTATATCTGTGTATATATCTTATATGCTCAGTGAATTTTACTGGAAATGAATTTTAGTGGAAGTGACTAGTGCAGAAGAA